TCAGAGTTTTCACTTAAGCAGCATCCACTGTGAGCCAGGCACTGTGCTCAGAATTGAATTCTCCCACGTACACACAAAGAACTCAGACACGACTGTTTTTAAAATCAAGTCTGACGATATCTGCCTTTCAGTTGGAGTGTCTAGTCCCTTTACATTTAATGTATTTATTGTTGTGGATGAGTTTACATCTATGGTTTTGCTGTTTGTTATCTATGTGTCATCTCTCTTCTTTGGTCGTTTGTTCCTTTGTGCCTCCTGCTGGGTTAATCCAGTTTTTAAAACCATTCCATTCTGTCTTCTCTGCTTTTTAGCTATTCCTCTTTATATTTTTGGTTGCTCTCTAGGGGTTACAATGTGCATTCTTAAGTTATCACAGTCTACCTTTTAATAATAACACACCACTTCATGTATTCTGTAGGAACTTGACAAAAATAGAATTCCATTTTATCCTCCCCTGTCCTGTGTGTTATTTGATCATATATTTTACTTTTATATGTGTTAGAGATCCAAGAAAACATTGCTATTTTTGCTTTAAGGAGTTGATTTTTAAAGAAGTTAAGAAAAGGAAAAGTCTTTCGTATCTACTCCCATATTTACCATTACCAGTGCTTCCTGTAAATCTGAAATTCTATCTGGCAACATTTCCCGTAAGCCTAAAGACCATCATTTAGCATTTCTTATAATGCGGGTCTACTGGAAACAAATTCACCGTCTTATGTACTCAAGCATGTTTTTGTTTTTCCATTTGGAAAGACATTTTCACTGATAGCATTCTAAATTGAGAGATTTTTTTTTCTCTCTCATTACTTTTAAGGTGTTCCATTGTCTTCTGACTTGCATTGTTTTTATGAGAAGTCTGTTGTCTCTTCCATCATTGTTTTCCTATATATAATAATTGTCTCCCCCACCTCTCCCACAGCAGCTTCCCGGATTCTCTCTTGATCTTTGGTTTTCAGCAGTCTGACCATCATGTGCCTGAGTATACTCTTCTCTGTTGTTATCCTGTTTAGGGGTCACTGGACTTCCTTGATTTTTTTTTTTTTAGCTGAGTCATCCTGCCACCTGTTGGCAGCTCAGCAGCAGCTCAGCTCGGGCCGGGACGCGAACCGCTGTTGCTTAGAGCTCACACTCTTTTTTTTTTTTTAAGATTTTTATTGGGGAATTGGGGGGATGGGAGCAGTGCTGGGGGATTGGGGAAGGGGAACAGACAAGTTGCTGTCGTTTTTTTGTTCTTCAATCTAGTTGTGGAGGACGTTGCTTCACTTGCCCAAGTTGGCACCATCACTGCGCTCTTCCAGGGCGAGGCGGATCAGTCGCCGGCTTCTGGACGACTGCGGCTGCTGGCCGCTCACGCTGGCTGCTGGCCGCTCACGCTGGCTGCTGGCTACACACGGTAGCCCATGGCAACCCACTGCCACAGGGACTGCAGCCTACGCCGTCGCCAGCGACTCACGGCAGCCCAGCTCCAGGTTGAGCTGTTGTTCAGCATCTTAGCTGTGGAGGGCAGTGTTCACTGGCCCTCATATGTGGGATCCGAACCGGGACCCTCTGGCATCCCAAGCGAGTTCTTAACCATCGCGCCACTCGGCCGGCCCCTAGAGCTCACACTCTTGAGTGAACTCTTAACCAACTGAGCCACTCGGCGGGCCCTCTGAACTTCCTTGATTTTTTTAACTTGAAATATTCTTAGCCACTATTTCATCATATATATATTTTTTTCTGTCCCACTATCTTCCTTTCCTCCTTTGGGACTCCAATTACATGTGTGTTAAGACTGCTTGATCCTGTCCCACAGGTTACTCAGGCTATATTTATTTTTTCAGTAATGTTTCTCTTTGAGCTTTAGTGTTGATCATTTCTATTGATCTGTCTTTAAGTCACTGGTCCTTTTCAATTGGGTCTAATCTCATCCAATGGATGTTTATATGGCTTTTAATCTCATCTAATGAATGTCTGACTTCAGGTAGTATATTTTACAGTGTAGCATTTGATCTGATTCTTTTTTTTTTAAGTTTCCACATCTCCCTTTGTTATGGGTTGAAACAAGTCCCCCCGAAAGAGATGTTGAAGTCTTAACCCTCAGTATCTCAGAATATTACCTCATTTGAAAATAGGGTTGTTATAGATGTAATTAGTTAAGAGGAGGTCATACTGGAGTAAGTAATCCAATATGAATGGTATCCTTATAAGAAGAAACAGACACAGAGAGAACAGTGTGTGAAGATGGAGGCAGAGATTGGAGTGATGCACATACAAGCCAAGGAATGCCAAGAATTGCCAGTCACCACCAGAAGCTAGGAGAGAGGCATGGAACAGATTTTTCCTCAGAGCCTTCAGAAGGAACTAACCCTGCCAACACCTGGATTTCAGACTTCTAGCCTCTGAACTGTGAAAGAATAAACATTTGTTGTTGTAAGCCACCCAGGTTATGGTACTTTGTTTGGGTAGTCCTAGGAAACTAATGCACTCTTAAATTTTCCTATGTCTTCATCCATTCTTTTTTTCATCTATTCTAATTGTCTTTTCCTATAGATCCTTTAAAAATTTTATTATAATGATTTAAAAGTCTGCCTACTAATTCCAACATCTGGGTTGTCTTTGAATCTGTTTCTACTGACTTTTAAAAAAATCTTGTCTATGTGTCACATTGTCCTGTTTCTTTCCATATCTAGTAATTTTTTATTTTATACTGGACATTGTGATGATACCTTGTAGAGATTCTGGATTGTGTTATCTTTCTCTGGAAACTTTTGCATGTTGTCCTGCTTAATTGTTGGCCACTCACCTTGATCCTGTGGAGGCTTGGTGTTAGAATTTGTTTGGAAGGTTTGTTTTGGTCCTTACTCCTAAGTCATGGTCTCCCAGGATCTCAATCAAAAGTCTGCCAAACCTCTCTAACTTGGTGAGATTTGAATAAGAAAATCTGTCTCCCTGGTACCATGCAGCTGCAGAAATCTCTGCTCAGTATTTTCATCCTTCAGGCTGTGTTTTCCCCTGGGCTTCTTGGAGTCATGCTCCAAGCCAGAATCAGCCAAGGATTTGAGGGGAGTTCTCTCCCTTTCTGGCTCTCTTTTCTGGGATTTTTCTCTCTCAGTTTCTAGCTGCTCTTGAGGCACTGCGCTCCAATTTCCTACTTGCCAACGAATAAGGCTTCTGCTTTCTGCTTGAGTTCTATCCTCCACGCACTACATAAACTAGAGGATGCTTTCAGGGGAAAAGCCAGATAAATGAGTCTCTCATCAGTATGGTTTCTTTGTTTCAAGGGTCACATTCTCTCCAGTTTCTGACTGCTTTTGGTCACTGTCTAGTAGTTCCTAATCAATCTGTTTTATATATTTTGTCCAGATTTTATTATTGTTACCAGCAGAAATTGATCTCATATAAACTATCCCTCCACCACCAGCAAATATGCGCTTTATAAATTACTACATTATGCTGCCTAAGATTTATAAATTAGTGCTCTTGTTAGGCCTAGTTTTAGACTTGACGTTGAAAGTGATATGATTTAGTGGAAAACACAGGCCCTCTTGTTTGGGTCTGGAGCCAGCTACCCCTGATGTTGAGCTTTGACCCTGATACTTTGCTGTGTGACCTTGAACAAAACCCTTCATCTCACTTAGCCTCAGTGGCCTCTCTTGTATAACAGGAGTGACAGTCCCTGTCTTGCAGAATGAGGAATGGAAGTAACTTTAGTGAAAGCCCAGCACCATTCCTGCACAAAAGTGCTCAATAAGTGGGGGCTGTTATTAGCAGTGAACTACGTGGTTCTGTTCCTACAAGGAAAGCTCTCCAAATGACATGGCGGTCAGCTACACCTAATGTTGACCTTTAGGAAGTCCCCATTCTACTCTGTTGACACATTTTAAGATACAAGCTGATGCCCACGAGTTTAGTTTTCACAGACATGTCAGGGTGCGTCTGCTGAGTGTAGGGAGGGATCTATACCCTCTGGGATGGCCCAAACTGTGCCTCCTGGGCAGCACGAAGTCCCCATTTGGAGAACCAATGAGGGCTCCTGCCAGCTCAAGTCTGGGCTACATCAGGTCTTGATCGAATGGGATGGACTGGGTTGGGCGACACTCATTTACCAGACTTAAACAGTGACCCAAGTAAGGAGAAATCAATACACTTGGCATTTATGGGGAGGGTACTCTCTGAAGCAGCAGAGGCCACTGACACAGCAGCCAAAACAAGACCCTTCACAGAAGGGCCCACTATCTTCAAGCTAAGCTGTGGGAGCCAAGCCTGCATCTTGGACTAGCTGTGTGGCCTTGGGCAAGTTCCTGCCCCTCTCTAGACGGACTTCCACATATCTTCACAAACTGATAACCTCTAAAAGCCCTGTCAACATGGAATCAGAAATCAAGAGTCCTAGCCATGGTCTTGCCTCCAATATAGAAGTGAGGTTGGGCACCTCAGTTAAATATCTTTTTGCCTCAATTTCCCCATCTGTACCACAAGGTGCACATGCCCAATACACGCTCTGCACCAGGCTGTTTCGGATCCCTTAAAAATAACAAAGTACTCTGAAAGCCAGAATTACAAACATATATTGCACCCCAAGATCTATGGCCTTGCACTGCGCTGGGGAAACTCAAGTCTTGCATTATAAGGGCAAGTTGGGAAAGTGGCGCCAACCCCCCTTGGGGAAAAAAATGAGAGCTTTCAAAAAGAGACAAATAACTTGCAATTTAAATGCATAAGAGACCAGGCTGTGCCACCGCATATGCAGATAGATGCAAATGATATGCAAATGATCCAGAGTAAGCCTGAGTTTGCCAATGTCCTCTGCCAAGCAGCCAGTTATGGGGTTCATCCAGGTCTGGTCTGTGCCAGAAGCTCACATCTGGGGCCCAGAGGCCTCGGGGTGAATGTTCGATTATACTTCTTCCAGAAAGCTTTCCAAGACCCAACAGGCCGCAGCCCCCTCCCTCCTCCCTAGGGCTTGGATTCTCAATTCTCAGCAAGGATGGTACCTTCTCTCTCTCCAGGCTATGAGCTCCCAAGGGCAGGGGCTCCATCACCTTCACCACCACGCCCCAGAACTGGCACAGAGTCTGGCACCAAGCAGGCACTCAGGGGCTACCTGCTGAGTGAACACAGGAAGGCAGGATGAAGGGGTGAGTTCATTTATTTTCAAGTCCTCCTTGACCCAGGGAAGAGGCTGAACCCTGCTCTGGGGCTTTCGGTTGTGCTGTCACTAACAATGGGTGACAGTCAGCATTCGTACCTTGCTACCAATGAAGATTAGAGGATTGAAATTTGCCAGTGACTTGCCTAACTTATGAATTAGGAAAGGTTCCACTTGGTTGATACAATGACATACTCACCTCTCTCTTTCATTCTGCCGTCCTTTCTGGAATGTTCCAGGACCTGAGCCAGAGGCAGTATACAATAAACCCTGGGTGAAAAATGGATGGATGAATGGATGGATGGATGGATGAGTGAATGAATGAATGAATGAATGAATGAGGTTTCAGCTAGCGTTCCAGACCTACCCATAAGCCATTGCCCTTAAGTTCAACTACTGATCTTCATCTATTTGTCGTAGAAGTCGTGAATTCTTTTGTGTGTTTATAAATTTAGGGACTGTAACACTTTGGTACCACATCACATCCCCTTGTCCCACCTCTGACTTCAGCTGCAATGAAGTGGACCGTCCTAACTCACACGGACAGGTGTACGACCTCAAGCAGGTGCTTTTCTGCCTTGGAGCTTTTCCCAAAGCCTCCTGAAGCCACTAGCACAGCTCAGAAGGTGAGTGGGGAAAAGGTCCATGAAACACCATTCTGCAATGGAGGAGAGGAGCCAGTGGGTAGATGCTCTCTCCTCCCGTCTTCCAGGACAATCTGGGAGGCGTTCTGTATACTTCCGGGGTCCCAGGGAAATCGGCTCTCCCTCACTGCTCCTCCTCCTTCCCCGCCTTGCTCTCCTGCCTCCCGAGGTCACCCCAAGTCCTTAACTCAGGTTCTGCTTTCAAAGGACCCCAAGTGAGGACAGGAAGAGTTTTCAAAATCTGCTTGCGTCCATGGCTATGCATCTCATGAATATGATATACATGCAAAGGTGGAAAATAGATTGAGAATGGCTCGTCTTCACAGCCAAAGTGAATTATTTCAGTGAAAAGCCAGCGTTACCTGGTGTTGGACAAGCCCTCATTCACTCGTCACAGACTTCTTAGCCTCCTGCTCTGAGCAGGATATTGCAGCCCAGGCCTCGCCCTTGCACTGTGCACAGCCTGGTGGCAGTTGCGACGAGGATACGGATGGGCGACCGGAAGGGTTCTGTTCGAATCCTCAAAACTACCCTGTTCCCCTATGAACACAACTGTGTCATTTACGGATGAGAAAACTGGGGCTCAGAGTGGAGGGACTTGTCCAAGGGGAGGTCAGACAGCTCGTAAGTGGTGCCGCTGACACCTAAGCCCACAACATCTGATCCACAGCCTGCAGAGGTGTCTGGAGCTGGCCCACTCTGCAGTGGCCGTGGGTGGTAAATGGGGTCTGCTTATAGGTCACCGGCCCACACTCTAGACCAGCACTGTCCAGTAGCAACAGGCCTCCAGCCGCAAATGCACGTGCAAGCCACACAGGTAATTTTCAATTTTCTGGTAGCTTTGTAAAAACAAAGAAAAAAACCCCAAAAAACTGGTAGAATTCATTCTAATAATATTTGTATTTAACCTCATCTACCCAAAATATTATCATTTGATATGTCATAAACATTTAAATTATTGAGATAGTTACTTTGTTTCATTCTAAGTCTTTGCAATGCGGTGTGTATCTTACGCTTAAGACACATCTGAATTCAGACTAGCCACATTTTAAGTGCTTTCTCAGTAGCGAGCAACACGTGGCCAGTGGCGGCTGTGCTGCATAGTGCAGCCCTAACACCCCCCTACCCCACTGTGTGGCCTTGGCCTAGTCCATTCCCAGTATGTCTTCAGAGAGAGCTCATGGAGCGAAAGCACTCTGTATACTCACTGTAAACGCGTCACTGCAACCTTTATCTCATCCATCTGCCCTGGCAGACAATGTTGCTGGGGCCAAAGCTTTGGGGAGACGTGCACCCAGTTCCCCTTGCAGAAAAAAGATCTCTCTTCTCAAACCTGGGCCCCAGAACCCCACCCACCGGGGAGAGGGCGCAGGAGGGGAGTGGCTGGGAAGGAGCGCCAAGGCTCCCCCTTGTCGGCTTCCTCTTGCCTGCTCTAGGGAGAGTTAGAGTCTATTTTAACCCAAATGACCTACCACCTCCCTATTTAGATGCCAGCGGATGGTTCTGCTTCTCCAGGGCAGGGCTGGTGTTTGCCACACGAGGTAGGGAGGTTAAGGTTGGGTTTAGCTACAGGTGGTAACAGTTACTTTAATTCTATGGAACCCCAAATCGGTGCTTGGAGCCGGTTCTGTGGGAACGCAGCTTGTTGGTTCACGCATTAGACACACATTTATTGAGCGTCTCGGGTGTTTACGCCGCTCTGGTGAGGATGTCAGAGATACAGAGAGGAAGAAAAGCAATAGGCCTCACCCGGGGGAATGCAAAGTCCGGTGGAGGGGACCGGACAGTAAGCACAGCCAGAAAGCTCCACAGCGCCGCCTCAGGAGGCTGGGACCAGTACTTGACTGAGGGGTTGGGGGTGGGGGAGTGTGGGGACTGCAAGTTCAAAGAAAGGTGAGACTGAGCCTGTGATCAGGTGTGTGGCTGGAGGGCAGAATGCCTAGGAGGGCTGGATGGACATCAGACGGTACAACGGTAGATTGGGTCCAGCCCAGGATGGGTCTGGAATGTTCTCTGAGACTCCTGCTCCCAGCAGGACTGCCATAGGAACCCCGACTGGCTGTGCTGTGGCCCTTGGCAAAATCGCCAATTAGGTGGAAACGTAGCGATTCAATTCCATTTACCCAGTATTCTCGGAGCTTCTGCTGATGCTCTGCTGTGGGGAATACAGCGATGCAAAAGACATTAGAAACAAACAAAATACACAGGACTTGGGTTTCCAGCAGTATTGTGAGTTAGGCAGCAGAAAACTCTCCTGCTACAAAATACCACTTGGAAATGGTGGCTAAAATATAACAAACATCCTTTTAAATGCATGGCTGAGCTTGCAAGAAAGGAGGGGAACTCCCCAGGGATAAAAACAAAGAAGTGGCTGAAAACCAGAGCAGGAATCAGAAAGGCTGGTGTTGGTGACGCTAGGCGGGCATGGCAGGGTGGCTGTGCGTCTCAGCGGCCTAGGGGTTGAATTTTACAGCCTCTGTGTGGACAAGAACCAAAGCTTTGGGCTCCACAAAGCCAGGAATTGTAAATGAGACCCACCTCCACGCCAAACTCTCCAGAGTTATATTCTCAGCGAAAAGGTGGAGGAGGATAAAAAACAAACAACAAAAAATCCACTCTCTGCTCAGACAGATCACCAAGAAGCCAGAAGGTCATCTGTACAGCCTGGGTATAGGATGGGACACTAAATACCCTGAGAATTAGTTGCTGTAGACTCAGCCTCAAGGGGTTTGGGATTTAAAGTTACACCGCCCTGCTTCTTGGTGTGCCTGGGGACTCAGAAAGCAAGAGTAACTCAAAAAGAGGCCTCTGGCTGGAAATGCCCCTGGGCACTGGGCAGAAACAAAGGCAAACACTCCCTAGAGGGCGGTAACCTCACCCACCCCCACCCCCAGCTGCCCAGGGTTCCCACAGACAAAGGTCCTTGCAGATGAGCTCACAAAGAAAAAATTACAAAACAAAAGCAGTCATAAACAAGAGTGAGTGGCAAAACCAACAGTAGGAGTGGACACCCCAGGGACCTTAAGTGATAGATCCAGCAGATAGAGACCACAAAATCGCTATGGTCAAAATGACTAAATTTGGGGAGCTATTGAAAAGAATGAAATATAATGAAAAAAGAACAGCAAGGGTTTCTGGTAAGAGATAGCAGATTAGACACACGCAGTTACCCCTGTTTCCTTCTGAAACTCCTTTTAAAATAGTGCAAAGACAAAGAAAATGGGATCATTTTGAAATTGGGAAGCAGGCCAATTAGTGAAAACCGACTTAGTGGATGCAAGATATTGAGTCCTAAGGTGACAGTGAGGAAAGTCTAGAACAAACAGAACCCCCAAAGGCTCAGGAATTGAGTACCAGGTACTTCTGGCACTAGAGGTAAAAAAACCAGATCGAACCACAGAGGATTTATTGAAAAACACTTTAAAGAGCAGTTAATAACCAAGATCCCATCCCCCAAGGTACTGCCTCTATCACATCCCAACAGAAGACGGATGGTTTATTCCTTGGAGTGGGTAAAAGCAAGGGACTCTGCACCGGAGAAGGGAAGATCCAGTCAAAGGGAACAGGCATCTCATGAAAATGGGGACTGACGTGAATCTTCACACTGAATACTGATACTCCCAACTGGTAACCAGGCTGAGTATGAGCTTCTAGACAGGAGACTGAGAGTCAATTCTCTGTGGACCTGAGAAACCCAGGAGGAAAGATCTAAAGGCAGTGACATCAGAAGTTGCCCAGCGAAAGAGCCCAGCCAGATCACCTCCAGAGGAGTCCTTGGTAGGCAACAGACTCTGAGCCCTGAGAAGCCTCCATGTGCAGAAAAGTCAAGGCTCACCAGGCACAGGAGGGAAGCACTTAACCCGGAGACAAAAAATAACAAATAGAAAGTCACTTTGAGGGAACACAGATGATGATGATAAGGAGAAGAAAATGCCAAAACCTTGATGTATCAGTTATCATCAAGGACATAAGCGATATAGCCCACATTAAACAAGTACAGGATGTTATTAATAAGGAACATTCTGAGAACAAAAAATATCTCTTGGATAGCTGTATTCCTGGTGTTTAAACTGGATGCCCTTAAATATTTAATATTCATACCTAGAAATTATATTTTCCTAACAACGTGTAAGGCAGTGCTGTCCAATAGAAATATCATATGAGTCATGTGCCTTAAACATTGTTAGGAAAATATATTTCTAGGTAAACACTTAAGGGCAACCAGTTAAACAACCAACATAAAGCTATAGTTTCCAAACTATCAAAGAAAAAAGGAGAATAAAGAAAACTATAAATGTAATAGATGGCAGAACATGAGAAATAATTTTAAAAGGTTTGGGTAAATAAAACAACGAAATAAAATGGTAGAAGTAAGTCTAAATATATCAACAAGCATTATAAATATAAATTAATCTGTCTCTTAAAAGACTGAGAATGTCATATAGGATCAAAACAAACAAAACAATATACGGTGTTATGCTGGTTAGGAGTAACACTCTAAAGCAAAAGAAAAGGGAAAGACTGAAAATAAAATAATGGAAAAAGATACACCAGGCAAATACTAATTAAAACCAACATAATAACATTAATATCAGAAAAAAAAACACCTAAGGCCAAGAAATATTAATAGAGATAAAGAGGGACACTATAGGATGATAGAAGTAACAATCCACTAAAAAGATCTAAACAATAGTAAGCTTTTTATAGCTAACTACTTATCCTCTAAATAAGTCAACAACAACAAAGGCAGATTAAAAACAACAACAGCTGTAGCTTTGAAAACTAAAAAGCACATTCCTGAGTCTCACAGGTACAACAGGAAATAGGAACATTTCTTTCCTGTTCTGATGTTTCCTTCTATGTGGAGAGAGCTGAATTAGCGTAACACTACCAGCCGGTCTCTGCCCCTTTCCATTCTCTGCCCCACGGTGGTGGTGGGGGTGTGTGTGTGTGTGTGACCTAGCTGATTAGTCAATGTGGGCAAAATAAAATCGGCTTGCTTGACTTACCAACTACTTCCTTTCACTTGGGAGTTGCCTACAGGCAGTGGTCAGTCTCTGACCGCCACCCACCATTACAGTGATTAGAGGTTAAGACTGCTAAATCTCTGTTTCCAGTATTAGGAAACCCATTTAGCTGTCACATCTACCCTCATCTTCCAACCTTATCAGTTAAAAAAAAAAAAAAGATTCCCCCCCTCACCCCACCCCTGCCACAGCCTTCCCGCTGTTTGTCTTACCTCTCAGTTCAGGATCCAGGAGAGGAAAGGGAAGTTACTTACTGAGCCCCTTCAAAGACATCAACAGAAATCACGATGGGAATTACAAAATATTTGTCACTTGAGGAAAAAGAGGTAAGTAAATTTGTAGAATGGAATGAAGAAGACATGTAAAGAGAAATATATAGGCTTAAATGCATTTACTCTAAAACGACTCATACATGAGTAAAGCTTTCAACAAATGAAAGCTTTTAAAAAACAGTGAAAAGAAGTAAACAAGAAATACAAGAGCATAAGTGAAAAGAAAATCAAGAATCACAAAAATTATCAACAAAGCCAAAAGCTGGTTCTTGGAAAAGACAATAAAATAGACAAACATCTAGCAAGATTAATCAAGGCAAAGAATAATCAAGGCACAAATATCTAATATTAAGAACAAAAGGGATTTGGGGAGGGGGGTTGTCACTTTGAGTGGTAAAAAGTATAACTGTTGCACTGTGTTGTACAGCTGAAATTAATTTTTAAAATGTTTATTTAACAATAAAAAAATTAAAAAAAATAAAAAGAACGAAAGGGAAATGAAACTACAGATACAGAAGTTTTGAGAATCATAATACTCTGAGCAACTTTATGCTACTATATATGAAAATAGGTGAAATAAAGAATTTCTAGAAAAATATAGATGATTAAGATTTACTCAAGAAGAAGAAAAAACTAAATAAATCAATGACCATTAAAGAAAATAAATTAGTATTTTAAAAACCACCCCTCTCCACTCTCCACCTTCCCAAAGAAACCCCATTTGCATGGAGAGGAATGGGGCAGAGCTGTGCCTGGGAGGCAGGCTGACGCAGGCAGGAACAGCTAGAGATCTGGAAGAATATGAGTCTCATGCCCCAGTCCTCACTGAGGTCTGTTTTATTCCTGCACTTGTCACTGTTTGGTTTCATACCTGAGCTCATGAATTCCCCTTCTTTCCTAAGCAAATGCTGCTGGGTTTCTGTCATTTGTGTAACTGAAATGCAACCAGTGGTATCACATTTTCCAGTAAATTTCAAAAAATGGGAGCCTCAAGAAATAGTGTAGGGGTAGCCCAGTATCTTAATCCTAGGACACCCCTTACAAATATGCTCTTCAAAATTTCACATCTGTGGGCCAGCTGAGTGGCTCGTTGGTTAAGAGTTGGCTTAGGAGCATGAGCTCTAAGCAGCAGGGCCACAGGTTCGGATCCCACATGGGCCAGTTATGCTGCTCCCTCTACAGCTAAGATGGTGAACAACAGCTTGACCTGAAGCTGGGCTGCCCTGAGTCACCCGCAACTACGTAGGCTGCAGCCCCTGCTACATGGGCTGCCATAAGCTACCATGAGTGGCCAGCAGCTGCTGTGAGCTGCTGTGAGCCGCTGTGAGTGGCCGTCCAATGGCAGCGACCTACCTGCCTCACCCGGGAAGAGCGCAATGATAATACCAACATGGGCCAGTGAAGCAACGTCCTCCACAACTAGACTGAAGAACAAAATGACAGCAACTTGTCT